TAGATTTGATAAGCCGAACAAAAGGCTGTGAGTAATATAACAATCGCTGTCAAGTTAGAGTCACTTCATACACAGGCCGATGTGAATCGCCAAGCAAAAAAACTAAAATATTAGCACGCATTAGAACATTTTATTCTTTGAGCATTCAGAAAGAGTGGATTTCTGGAAAGAAGACTTGCAAGGAAGCAGGGTCATGTATCTTCAAAGCACCGGAGAAAAACTTATGCTTGCGTTTCAGTCTTTTGTAATGTGAATTGGTTTATTTTCTTTCAACTCCGGACTCATTTCAGGTAGCAGAAACGAATGGAACATTTCCTGCTGAATATGCAAATGCAACCGAAACTGGACCTTTCCATGTAACCATGACAAGGATCATCAAACCTGTGTGTTCGGAAGAAGTGGCTCCTTATTCAAAGACACATGGAGTTTACTGAAATTACTGTAGAACTATACCAGGATCTGGATTAAGATTAGTCACGGCCTAGTTAAGTACAGACCCTTTACAAACCCCCTCCCTTCACTGTGCTCATTTCTGTTCTTACATGAACTTTATGATCTAAGTGCATGAACTACAAGAAGCCTCACAGTGAATTGCAATCATGTAGCAACTATTGGCCATTTGAAGTAGACAGGGCAACACCTTTGTGAAGGTCAGAGACAGATTTGTGACAATGAGAAAAAGCTGTCCCTTTCCAAGTATCGTAATCATCAGCATCTTCTACTTCATAATTTGCATTTCCATCATCACCATCACCAAAATTAGTCCGAATCAACCAAGCTTGGGGCCAGCAGTCGGAGTCCAATGCCATGAGCACAAAGTTGAGTCCCTTTCTCTCTACTCTGGAGGTTCATTTGGTGAAAGCGGCCACCACCGCCCACAGCAGCTCGTTGGCGCCTGACTTGGCAGCTTCAGCCTCGGGCTCGAGATCCAGAAGCATCCGCACCCTCTTCATGGCTAGATCGTACTGGTCGTCCAGCAGAGGACAGAAGGCGTTCTCTAGAACATCAGAGGAATGTGCCAGGAACAGCAGTGCCAGCAGACGCTTATCCATCCGTTGGGGATCGTTGACCCATTTCTCCAGGACGGACTCTTGGACCTTGCGCACCAGCCGCTGCTTGATGGTGTTGTTGGTGAGCGGGTGGGTGGTCATGTCAAAAAGCAGGAAGTTTTGCTTCTCTGTGGTGAGGACGCCCTTCTCCACCAAGTTCTTAGCCAAGCGCTCTCGCACGTTTCGCAACTGGTAGTGCAGCTTCAACGGATTCCAGGTTTCACCTACAGAACGTAAAAAAGGCTCTTGAATAACTGGACTGACCCATTTGTAGTACCTTTTGATGTTTGCAGCAATCTTATATCTTATACAAGTCAATATCTTATGTCTTATATATTATACAAGTCAATGTTGTCTTATATGACAATCATTTTTGCCATATAAAGCTTTAAGTCAACACAATATCAAAATAACTTTGAAGCAACCTTTCACTTTGGGTGATGCAACAAATTCCTCTTACTTTTCAAGCACTTCCACCATTGGGATCAATAGAGTGCAACAGTTGGGTTTCAGAAATAAAAACTCCATTCATTTTCTCCATAGGGAAATTGATTTTTAACAATAACTTTAAACCTTTAAAGACAGGCCTACTGTGAGCTACGAGGTTGTTAATTATGCTTTTGTTGATGCCATCAGCCCACGTTATTTCAACTTATTTGTAAAATAATCGTGTTTACCAGCAGAATTTGTGGTGAAAAACTACAGGGTTTCTGCAGACTTGAACAAGTTAAATTTAAGACTTTTT